TTAAGTTTTTTTTTTTTTTTTTTTTTTTTTTTTTTTTTTTTTTTTAATGGAGGAGGGGAGGGAAGGAACCTGGTCGAATGTCCAGGAATGTTGACATGTCGTGGACACCAAGTTGGAGTGCATAGAAATCATAAATGGAGCTAGTGATTTAGGACTAGTGAACTTGTGCTCTTGCTCCAAAGTGTAGTATTTAATTTATCTTTCTGTTTTTTCTTTAGGAAAGACCTAAAGATTAGATTGTAAGACAAGAAAATAGAAGCCATGTTTCGAAGACCTGTATTACAGGTAGTTACTTTTATGCATTAGTGCTCAGATGTATTATCAGCCATGGAGTCAAATTTCTTTAGGCTTTTGACCATGAGCAGAAGCCCTTTGGGCCTACCCATCCACCTCCGTAATGTGTATTCCTTTGATTTGAAGAGCTGGAATGGATTTTGCATGTGTAGATAATGTTCACTAAAACAGAATAAAAATTTTCAAATGTATTCACTAGTATAATAGGAATCGTGAATTTTTAAACTGTCTGTTACTTGCATTTAGATAGTAGCATTTTAGGGACAGAAAGCAAGAAATTGCCCCCCCCCGTGTAAGGCCACACTGCTGTCCCTTCTCCTACATTCTCTCAGGATTTTGGGCACGTGCACACATGCGCTTGGTGTGAGTTTTGAGCCACCGGGTCTAGGACTTGAACCATGGTCAACTACATCTGAGTCCAGTGACATAGCTCTCGACCACGTGGGAGTCCAGTGACTTAGCCATTGCCCTCTGCTGGTCCCTAGACCAGTAACATTTAAAGTCTTTAGTGATTTAAAGACTGTAGAATTATTATTCCATTATTTTTCTGTAAGGCATGTGGTTCCTTTCCTGATCATCTACCTCTTGTTAATATAATAAATGCTCCCCTTCCCAGATCTCCCCACACTGAGAATAGCAGCTCAGTTTCCACATCACTGCAAATTCAGTGTGTCCCAAATTCTTTCTCATTCTACTCAGTTGGTTCCTTTTCTGTCCATTTTAACTGGGCTAAACTATCCATTTTCCTCACTTAGACATTTTTGACACCCGGTCCCTGTACTTTTTTGTTTTGTTTTGTTTTAAAAACAAACAAACAAAAAACACCTTCTCATCTACTGCCCAGCCTCCTGTTAAGACAAATGAAGAATCAGTCCCTTTATGAAACTTATCATCTCCCTCTACTGTCAAATTGGAAATTGGATCTCCACTTAACCAATACAGACTTTTAACCTACTTTTTTATATGTTGAAATGTGAAACATGGAAAAGTTACTACTGTTTTAATATTCAATGTTATAGTATTAAGGGCCCTTTGAAACTAAATATAAAGGTTAAAAGTTTAATTTAAAAAATTATCCAAGTTTATGAATCCTTTCCCTATTTCTGCTTCTCTTCTGTGTGTCCGAAATGATACATACTGTTTTTTCTATAAAACTCATGAGCCAGCACTTAGTTTGAATCTGTAGTTGTAACATGTCTTTTTCAAATCCATGTTCTTCCCTAAAATTTAGTGATATCATTGTAGCCAACAGTACCCCAGGAATGGGTATTCATTTGATTGGCAGTCTTTGGCTTCTGTTAACAGTATTGCCACTTGAAAAATATTTCTCTGATAGAATGATTAGCTTTCCGAATCTAACAGTATGTACTTCTGTCTTTATCATAGCCTTGGAAGAGAATCAAAGGTTAGTGGGAAAAACAGCAACCTTGGTTAGTGTCAGATGGCCCTGGTTTCAAGTAGTGAGCCACTTATTTCCTGCAAGTTATTCAGATCTCTTTGAACTTCAGTTTCCTAGACTCTAAAAGAGAAATAATTTTGCATATAATTTTACATTGTTTTTTTCTTTTTATTATTATTCATACATTCAATTGCTATACATCATTTAGGTTGTAAAGAGACTTTACCCAGCATGGTATACACCTCTATCTAGACTTTACCCAGCATGGTATACACCTCAATCTAGCCCAGTTGACAATACTATACACATCTTCATCAACAGATAATAAACCGTATCTGGGTACCACAAGTGTCTTATCTATTTCCCCCCCCCCAAATTTGCTTTCCTATGCTCTTCTCCCACACTCTCTTTCCACTTTGTCTCTAGTGTCCATAAGAGTTTTTAATGCTTTTATAACCTCCAGTCTTTCAGTCTGTACCATAGAGTATGGACAGTCAGTATATGTTAAGTGGAGACATACAGTGTCTCTCTTTCATAGCTTGACTTGCGTCTCTCAGCAACAAGTCTTCCATATTGATCCAATTTCTATCAAATTCCAGGGCCTTGTTCTTTTATGGCTGAATAGTATTCTGCGGCCTTGTTTTTTTATGGCTGAATAGTATTCTGCAGAGTGTATGTGCCATACTTTTTCAATCCAGTCATCTGTTTGTGGACATTTGGGTTGGTTCCCTGTCTTAGCAGTTGTGAATAATGCTGCAGTGAATATAGTTGTGCATGCGCTTTTCTGACTAAGTCATTCTCCTGTCCTTTAGGTAGATACCTAGGAGTGGAATTGCTGGATTATATGGTAGTTCTATTTGAAGGTCTTTGAGGAACCTCTATATTGTTCTCCACAGTGGTTGGACCAATATATTCCCACCAACAGTGTAGGGATGTTCCCCTTTCACCATATCCCCTCCAGCACATGTTTTGCTTTTTTAATCATTGCCATTCTAACTGGTGTTAGGTGGTAACTCATTATGGTTTTGATCTGCATCTCCCTTACAATGAGGGATGTTGAGCATTTTTTCATACGGTTTTTGGCTGTTCTTATGTCTTCCTTAGAGAGTTGTTTATTCAGCTCATTTCCCCATCTTTTAATTGAGTTAATAATTTTCTTCTGGGTATGCCGCTTGACTTCCCTGTGTATTGTGGTTATCAGTCCCTTACCTGAGACACAGTTAACAAAAATTCTCTCCCATTCCAAGGGTTGTGATTCACGCTAATTACAGTGTTCTTTGCTGTGTGGAAACTTCAAATTTCAACTTAATCTGATGTAATCTCACCTGTCTATTTTGGGGATTATTGCTTGTGCTTTAGGGTCTTGCTTAAGAAGTCTTTGACTACCCCAATGTCTCCCAGAGTTTCCCAAGTGTTTTCCACCAGTAGCTTTATAGTTTGCGGTCTTAGGTTTAGATCTTTGATCCACTTTGAGTTGATTTTTGTTAACGGTGACTGATAGGATTTGGATTCATCTTTCTGTAGGTGGAAATCCAGTTTTTCCAGCACCATTTGCTAAAGAGGTTTTCCTTTTCTCACTGGATTGACTGGTACCCTTTGTCAAAGATGATTCAGCTGTATGTTTTAGGGTTTACTTTTTTAGTCTCTACTCTGTTCCATTGGTCCTGATGTTTGTTTTTGTGCCAATACCATGCTGTTTTGATTATCATAGCTTTGTAATATAATTTTACATTATTTATAGATTTAGGACTAGTTGAGAGCAAATAAAGAAATTAACTGGCCTTTAGTATTCATAATTGTTAGTAACGTAAGTGCTGCTATTATGTGGCAGAGACTAACTACCCTTTGCTGATGACTGATTTGGATAGTAGTATCTTTGTACTTAACTGCAGAACCACATGTGTTTATCTTAAACTGTTTTTCTTTCTTTTTTATTTTAAGAGAAATTTTTGGTATAATGTGTGTGTGCTTGCCGAAGAGACAGACAAGGAGAGAGAAATGACCCCCCTGGGGTGATTCTCTTCTCCATTCTCCTCTCTGGATTTTGGGCATGCCTGCACATGTCCTAGGGTGAGTTTCAAGCGACTAGGTCAGGACTCAAACCAGGGTTGGCCATGTGAGAGTCCAGTCACATAATCATTACTCCATCTGCTGGTCCCATGTTGTTGTTGTTTTTTGGTCTATTGAAAGCGTGCAATTTTCTATCACATATTTATAGAATGCAGTTAAGCACAGTATGGAGGGAAGTGGATCCCACATGCCCAGCCAAGGTTGGTTTCTGGTCCCATGGCTTGAAAACAAATTCAGCACATGTGCTTTCCCAGAATCCTAATAGGATAGAAAAATTGAAGAAAAAAGGCCTGGTGTGCCCAGGCCCATCACTGGGGGTGCTTTCTCTCTCTTTCTCTTGGGCAAATGGTTTTTGGCCAAAAGTTTAAAAAAGTATTGAACACCATATTGGGCTAAACTTCCTAGAGAAGAGGTTTAATACTTTCAGTAGCTTTTTAAAGTAGATATTACTTATTTTTGCTAATTTTAACATTTTAAAATTTATTTTTAAAGTTTATTGAGTTAGTCCATGAGACAGATACAGCATCCTCTACAGAGTCTTGATGTCACGGTCCACCCCCAGTGTCAGCTAGCTGTGTGTCGTGGTCCCACAGGTGCCAGGCTTACTAAGGGAGGTCTCTGGACACGAGCCGGCAATACTTCCTGTGGACCTGCCTCACAGAGTGTTGATTTCTACTGCTGTGCCGCCTGTTTTAAGTGAAACACTTCAGGCTAAACGCATTTGAGGTATCTCCTAATTCCTTTTGAATTCTGAAGGAGCATGCAGGGGAAAGCAATTTCATAGATTTATAGTTACATCCAGTGAGAGATGGAGTTTGAGATCTGCTATTGCTTTATTAGAAAGTCATTCTTATAATGAATGTAAGAAATGTATTTCATTGGAATTTATTATTTTTTGTATGTGCATTCTATTTTTATTTAAATTTATTTATTTGCATTCATTGGAATTTAACTTAATTTCTTATTCTCTGTTCTTTATGGATGAGAATTAGGCATAAGTAGTTGTATTTATTTCACACACTCTAACCCTTTCTTTTTACATAATTAATGAATCTATGTAGTAATATGTTAAGTATTAACTATAAAGCATTGATCTTTTTCTCTTCTCCTTGGGTTTAATGATAGATTAAATCTGTACTTTAGATAAATCTAAATTTCTCAATTTCTAAAGTCTACTGTAACCAAAATATGATAATATGTGAGTTGTCAAAAAAAAGTCCATTTATTCTATTGAAACAGTATTTTTTGCATCCTTCTGTGTCTCCCGACAAAAGCCAAATTTTTTTATAACTGGCGGTGACTTGTAGATACAGGTTAGATTTATAATCAGAGTCATACTTTATTGTGAAAGTGGTGCTGTTTTGAATTTACCTTTTGTGTGCAGTCACAGAAGTGCCGTCAGGAGAGTTGCCACTAAAGAAACAGGAGAAGACTATCAGTGAAATCTCGGCCTGTCCCCTCATACCTTCTCTGTACCCACGGGCTCCTGCAGTAAGCTGCTCTTAAAGTGTGTGCTTGGTCCTTTGGTACTGTGTCTTGAGAGAACATGTGACAAAGTCTCTTTCCTGGAACTTGAACCACTGACTAAATGGTGAACAGATAGAAGCAGGTCTTCTGTTATCATTTGCCTTCCCTAAAAAATTAAAAGCATGTTACTCATTTGTTTCTTTTTAGGTACTTCGTCAGTTTGTAAGACATGAATCTGAAATAGCTAGCAGTTTGATTCTTGAAAGATGTAAGTAGCTGATTTCAAAGTCTAACTGTTACGTATAATGACGTGCTCAAATCCTCTAATGTGGCGTGGAGGTGGTGCACTGGCTGGGTTAACCCTGGTGACCGTTATGCCTTTGGTTTGTGTTTGCTCCTCAGATCTCAGCCTGTTCTCAGGTTGTGGGGAACTAGCAGGAACTGGGCCCTTACACTCCTTGTGACAGACAATTACCCACCCTGTTGTCACTGTCCTGCCATGAGGATTTCCTTGGGTCTTAACTCAGTTATCTGCATCTTCTGAGATTATGTTAGTTTAGGATTATGAAGGATATTGTATCATAGTAATAATTCCCTTTTATTTATAAAGATTTTCAGAACTCAGATTTGTTCTTCTAGCTATACAGACAGTTAAAAGATATCTTAAAGAGGAATTTAATAATAAGGTCTGCTTTGTTGGGCTTCTTTCTTTTTAAAAAATTTTTTTCTTTTTAAAATTTATTATTATTTCAGTTTGCTATAGGGCATGTGCACTCACCAGAGCGAGAGTGAGCGAGTGAGCGAGCGAGAGAAAGAGGGAAATAAAGTGAGAAAGGAGACTGTCAGGTCCAGGACTCAAGCTGCAGTTGACTCTGTGGGAGTCCAGCGCCTTAACCGCCATGCCACCTGCTGGCCCATGGGGCTTTTTTCTCTGCGACCTTTTTCTCTTTTGTTGCCAGCCTTTTTTTCTCCTCCGAACCTCCCTTTAGTCAAGCTCTCTTTTTTTTTTTTAAATTTTTATTTAACTTTATTTAATTATTTATTTATTTTTAATTTGACCAGAGAGGAACAGAGCAAGGTGAAGAGGGGGGGGAAGGTGAGAAAGCAAGCCACCACATCTGGAACTTGAACTGCAGTTGGCTAAGTGGGAGTCCAGAGCCCTTAACCACCACACCACCTGCCGGCCCCTTTATTCACTCCTTTAACTCCTTTTTTTTTTCTCCTGATCTTTTAGAAATTGACTTTTGCTTATTAGAGATTAAGTTGAAGTAGTACTTGAAACTTTTCCTAGTCTCAACATTTCTCTCAATCTTGAATGTGGATTTCTTTATTAATCAGCTCAGGCTACTGTAGCAGAAGTATCATGGACTGGCGGCTTAAACAGCAGACAGTTATCATAGTTCTGGAGGCTAGAAGTCCGAGATCAGGTGGTAACATGGTTGGATTCTTGGTTTCACAATCAGTGGCATACTCTATTGTGAAAGTGGTGCTGTTTTGAATTTACCTTTTGTGTGCAGTCACAGAAGTGCCGTCAGGAGGGTTGCCACTAAAGAAACAGGAGAGGACTGTCAGTGAAATCTCGGCCTGTTCCCTCATACCTTCTCTGTACACACGGGCTCCTGCAGTAAGCTGCTCTTGAAGTGTGTGCTTGGTCCTTTGGTTAAGGCCCTCTTCCTGGCTTGTAAATGATCACACTGCTTGTATACATGGCAGAGAGAGAAAGAAAACTCTGCTTTCTTCCTCTTACAAAAGCTCTAATCCCATCATAGGGTCCCACCCTCATGACTTCATCTTAACGTATTGCCTCCCAAAGGCCTACCTCCAAATACCATCACGTTGGGGGTTAGGGCTTCAAGAGATGGAGTATTGCCTCAAGGACACAAACATTCAGTCCACAGTAGATTTTCACTGTCTATTCTTTTTTTTTTTTTTTTTTTGTCTCCGTGTTGTATTTCCAGCTCTGAATCGTGTGCAGTTACTTGGGCGAGTGGGTCAGGACCCTGTCATGAGACAGGTGGAAGGAAAAAATCCAGTCACAATATTTTCTTTGGCAACAAATGAGATGTGGAGATCAGGGGAAAATGAAGTGTACCAAATGGGTGAGTATAAAAGACTAGAGTCTAAATTTTTTCAGCAATAAAGAGACATTATTTATTGCCAGTTATGTATTATAATTAGATATGCTACCCCCCCCCCCCCCGAGGTTTTTGCCTTTGAATGCATGCACTTGTTGGAGAGAGAGAGGCAGAGGCAGTGAGAGGGAAAGTGAGAAATCACTCTCTGGAGGGGATGGCCATGCTGCAGTCTCTTCTCCTCCATTCTCCATCTGGGTTCTTGGGCATGCATGCACATGTGTCCTGTGTGACTTTTAAGCTGCCATATCTGGGACCCAAACCGTAGGCCAGGTGAGAGTCCAGCAACGTTACTGCTCCTCCGTCTGCTGGCCCCTAGCTAGGCTACTTTTAATCCTGTCCTGTTTTCTTAGAAATTGTGATGTTGATGGGACGACCTGGTAGTGTAAGGGTTACGTCACTGGACTCCCACATGGCCAACCATGATTCAAGTCTGGACCTGGCAGCTTGAAATTCAGGCTGGCATGTGTGTGTGTACAGAGAGGAGAATGGAGGAAAAGGGATTGTGGCATGGTTATCTCACCAGGGGGTGAATTTTTGCTTTTTGTCTCTGTCTCTCTGTCCAGCGCATGTGCCCTATAGTAAAAAAAACTCTCTTAAAAGACAAAGAGGGGCCAGCACATGGCGTGATGATTACATCACTGGATTCCCACATGGCTGACTGTGGTTCGAGTCTCGGACCCGACAGCTTAAAAAACTTGGGCCAGGATACGTCGCTGGACTCCCATGTAGTTGACCGTGGTTCGCGTCCTGGACCCGGTGGCTTAAAACTCAGGCTGGGTGCGCGTGTGTGTGCGTGTGTGCCCAAGATCCCGAGAGGAGAATGGAGGAGAGAAGAGTGTGTGGTGTGGCTCTCCCCCCTGGGGATGATTTCTCACTTTCTGTCTCTCTCTCTGTCTTTCTGGCAAGCGCATGTGCCCTATTGCAAACCCCCCCCCCAAAAAAAAATATATATATATACACACTCAGGCCATGTGTGTGTGTACATGCCCAAAATCCCAACAGGAGAATAAAAGAGAAGGGATTGTGGTATGACCATCCTCCCTGGGGGGTGATTTCTTACTTTCGTTCTCTCCTGTGGTATGACCATCCTCCCTAGGGGGTGATTCTTACTTTCGTTCTCTCTCTCTTTCTCTCTCTCGTCTCTCCCTCTCTATCTCTCCAACACAAGCCCTATAGCAAAAAATCTCTTTAAAAAAAGTCACAATTTCTATTTTCTATAGGGCACTCGCGCTCGTTGGAAGGACAGAAAGACAGAAAGTGAGAAATCACTCCCCCTAGGGAGATGGCCATGCCGCAGTCCCTTCTCCTCCATTCTCCTCTCTGGATTTTAAGTATGCATGCACATGTGCCTGGTATGAGTTTTAAGCCACCAGGTCTGGGACTCAAACCATAGTTGACCACGTGGGAGTCCAGCGACATAACCGTTATTCCATTGGCTGGTACCATGACTTTGGTTTTGATGGGTATGTTGTCTGTTTACATTTGTTTTGTCTGCTGGCATTTATAACTGTGTTCCATGTTCTCATGTAGGTGATGTCAGTCAAAAGACAACGTGGCACAGGATATCAGTATTCCGGCCAGGTCTCAGAGATGTGGCATATCAGTATGTGAAAAAGGGGTAAGTTGAAGAAGGAAGGTTCTTATAGAGAACATGAATGGTTTAAAAAACTGATACACAGATATTCTCATGTAAGGAACATGTAACTCCTTTATCACTGAGTACTACTAAGTACATTAACTTAAAAGGTACTTATTAAATCCTAATAATATATACAAGTTATGTTGCTGTGTGTGTGACTAATTTAAAGGTGTATAAAGCCTTCTAAGAATTTGTAATTTAGCACAAACAAAGTGTGTACATACGTAGAAACAGATGGGGCAGGAGAGAGGCAGAGTGTACCCAGTGCCGCGTGAGCAAGTGCAACACCGGCTTGTAGGAGCTCCACAGCCAGGGTCCTGAGGGTGTTGCCTTGCCTCTTGGCATCCATGGAATGTCCTCAGCAGAGGATCTGGAATGTCTGAAGCCTGACATAGTAAGTTATTATGGTAATATCCACAGCAGATATTTTATATTTAATAATTTTCTGTGACTTAGTTCCTTTTTGGAAAGCTTAGGTTGGTTATGAAAGTGTCTTTTCAGACACACAAAAGGACAAACATATGTTTGTAACAGCAGTTGTATTAATTGTAAATAGGTTCAGAAATGTGTTGTGGGGCCAGCAGGTGGTGTAGTGGTTTAAGGTGCTGGACTCCCACATGGCCAATTGCAGTTTGAGACCCGGACCCAGTGTCTTGAAACTCATGCCAGCTGCATGTGCTTGCATGCCCAAGATCCAGAGAGGAGAAGGGATTGTGGTGTGGCTATCTCCCCGGGAGGTGATTTCTCACTCTCTCTCTCTCTGTCTCTCTCTGTCTTGGGTGAGCGCATGTGCCCTATAGTAAAAATCTCTTAAGAAAAAAAAAAAAGAAATGTGCTTGTAAGAAGCAGCAAAGCATATTTCATAAAAAAAGAACTTCAGCAGTGGCTAACATTTCCAATTCTTTTCTGCAGATTACTGCATTATCTTTCTAATGTATATATGCGTGAGTATGTGCTATGTACATACAAGCACGTGTAGAATGTTGTAAGGGAAGTATCTAAATGCAGTTCCACCTACTGATGAATTGGTGTCTTTGTGTGTGTGTGTCTTTGTGTATTTGACACCTGATCATTTCACTAGTTTTGTTTTCTTTCTTTAGTACTTTCCTGTGGTAGTTAAATACGAAAACTGGGGCTGCCAGCTGTAACTTCTGCCTTTTAAAATATTTAGTTCAGCCTTCAAGACACAAGAATGAACTGAGTGATATATAACCTAAAAGCTTCTATTTTGACTTTGACTTATTTGTTTTTTTATGCCAGAGGGCATATGCACGTGCACAGAAAGAAAAAGTTTCCCTTCTCCCAGTGGGCCGGTATACTGCGGTGCTTTTTCCTTCACTTCTCTATTTTGTCAGGATCCTCAGTATGCATGGTGGGTTTTTTTTTTTCTTTGTTTTTTTTTGTTTCGTTTTTATGTTAGAGGGTGCATGCACATGAGAGAGAGAACTCCTCAGTGAGGCCTTGCCATGTTGCCATCCTTTTTACTTCAGTTCTCTATCCTGTCATAATTCTGGGCATATTCATACATGTCCTGTGAGTTTTTCAAGCTTCTGGGTCTGGGACTCAATCCTGGCAAGTCATATGGGATCCAGCTTCTTCTGCACAACGCCTAACTGTTGTGCTTTGTAGCCAGCGCTTTTTTAAGCTGAAGGGGGCCAAGACTTGAGCCCTGGAACTGGCTTCTTCTTGTATTGTCTAACTCCTTTACTGACCCATTTTAATAATCTAAGTCCCTGGAGAATGAGGTCATGAACCTTACTGTAGAAAGGAGTTGAGAAATAAGTGAAAACGAACAAATCTGTGAGGGAGTCCAGGTTTGAAGGTCAAGGAGAATGACACATTGGAATTCATTCCTAGAGATATAAAGCATGCCACTGAGTACCCTTCTAGCTTCTTGGTCTTAGGTTGCTTTTTTTGTCATTGGCATTTTCGGCCTATGATCTTTAACAGGTTTTTAGTCTATGTATATAACTTTTGTAAGATTAGCTGAAGGGTGAAAACATTGTCGTCTTCTCTTAAATGTGTCAGGTAGTTTGTACATCTCTCCAAGATTCTTAATTCTGAACTTTGCCATAGGGTGGGCACCACCACGCCCTTAATTCTGAACTTTGAAGAATGGTAGCAAAGGTGAGCATTATGTGTGATTATAGATTTCATGCTCAGGGTATACTCATTTCCACCCTGACTGACTGGCTTATAAAGAACATTAGAATTGTCAGGCTAAAAGCTACATTTTCTTTGTATCAGGTCTCGAATTTATGTGGAAGGCAAAGTAGACTATGGCGAATACACAGATAAAAATAATGTGAGACGGCAGGCAACAACAATCATAGCTGGTAAGAAGCTCCTGGCAATAGCCGTCCTCTACTTTTTCCCTTTCTTCCTTTGAAGGCGTGGCTGTGTTGTAAGTGCCTTGAACTGGGGCTGTAAGTGTTGGTGCTAATGAGATTATAAAGCATCTTACCAGAATAATTCTGTGACTGGTTTTACCACCAGCTAGGCTTCCATATTTATCTACTTCTTTAAAAAATGATCTCTGTACCCACAGTTTTACTTTACAAGTAGTTTTTTTAATAGAGTATAAAATTAGATTGTCTATGCCAGTACTTACTGTTGAGAATTAGAAAAACTTAATATACTGTCTTATTGAAGTACATGGGCTAACATGTTAAGATGATTACAGTAATGTAAATGGTATTAACATTTGTACAGATCAATTTAGATCCTTTGGGTACTTCATAGGCTGAAATTTGTATTTGAAATTTATCATAAAGTTTTATTCTTCTCTTCATGCAAAATATAAAACAACATAGACAGTTAAAGTTTAAAGATAACTAAGAAGATATCCCCTGAAGCAGAATTTTCGAACTTTAAAAAATTCTGTAAGAATTTTGAAAACAGTATACCCTTTTTGAACATCCTGAAGTTGACATTATTTTTTTCAGTATGAGAATATTTTGTTACTCTTAAATGTATTAATGGAGTATGAATACTATAGCATTTCAATACTTACCATCTCATTAAAAAATATACAAAGAAGGTCTTAGACATTTGGAAATTTGATATTCATTTTTCTTTGAGTGTATTTTACTGTTTCTATTTCTCCTCAGAAGTGTATCTTAATATAGCATGTTATATAGTTAAGACTCTTATATTCATCTTACTGTATGAATGTATCAAAAATATATACATAGGGACCATCAGTTGGCGTAATGACTATATCGTTGGACTCCCATGTAGTCGACCATGGTTCGAGTCTCAGACCCAGTGGCTTAAATTTACGCCAGGTGTGTGTGCATGCATGCCCAAGATCCTGAGATTTTGGCATCACAGGAGAAAATCATGCCCCTGGGGGTGTGATTCTCACTTTCTGCCTCTCTGTCTCTCTCTGTCTCTCTGGTGAGTGCACGCTCCCTATAACAAACCCCCCTCCAAAAAAATATATATATGTATACACACACACACACACACACACACACACATAAAAGAAAATAAAAATTTTTTAAACTTCTCTGACAGTAAAGGTCTAAATATTTCTGCTTGATTTGTTTGTCATATTTTTTTCTAGTACTAATTGACCAAAACAATTTCAGTGTGCACATACAAAAACTAAAATATTACTGGAAATATATTTTTTAATGAGAAAATTATTTTTCCATTTTTTGGCTAAATTGTTAAAATTAGACATTTTCAAACCTCAGTTTTGTTATTTTGTTCATTTTTATAGACACCAAGAAACCTTCTTATAAATGAGTAGCTGGGAAAGAAAGAAATTTTATTATAGTAGTGTTTAAGTGTTTACCACCTTCTGAGATTTGCCAAAGATTGATAATGTCATTGTTTTAGTCTTTTTTTTTTCTGCTGCTATGACAGAATATCACAGACTAAATAGTTCTTAAAGAATACAGATTTATTCAGCTCATGATTATTCAGCTCATGATTCTAGAGGTCCAGGGTTATGGGGCTACAGCTGGTGAGAGTCTTCTTGTTGGCTGGACTCTCTGTAGAGTCTTGAGGTGACTCCTCACATTGCCTGGGAAGAGGGCAAGAATGTCAGATCTGGTCTTTCTTCTTACAAAGCTACCAGTTTTCAGTGCTGAGTACCTTACCCTGCTGATCTGTAATTTTAATTACTTCCAAAGGCCTACCTTTTAATACTGTAGTTAGATTACATGACAATAGCAATCAAATTTCAACATATAAATTTTAGTGGGGACACATTCAAACCACAGCAGTCATTTAAAAATTATTTTTTTGTAATGAAAATGTCTAGTATATGTAACTGTAGAGAGAATTGTAAAATGAACCCCTGTCATTTTGCTTCATCAGTTATTAACTGAGGGCTAATATTATTTCCTTTATACTGAGTCACTTTTTCACCACCTGTATTATTTTGAAGCAAATCCCAGACATTATGTCATTTCATTCATAAATTTTAGCAGGTACCTCTGAAAGGTAAGGGTTCTTTTTAAAAATGTAACTACTATGGTTTTATTACACCTCATATTATGAAACCATGGTTAAGTTTTTTTTATATTGGTGTTCAGATTTTCTTTATTACTTCATAAATGAGTGTATACATTTTAATGCATTTAAAAATATATCTTACTGTCTCTTTTTAGGACTAAATTTTTAATTTATCTTTCTCCTTTCTGTCTCTCTAGAATTCATGTAAATTCATGTAAATTCATGTCTGTACCATATTGGTAAATTATAATTTGTTATAAATAATAATCATATAGTTTCTTATTGGTAAGTTTCTTTGAAAGTATATTGACTTTGAAAACCAATGTGAGTATTTTCCTACCTGAGTGTATGGGCAGTCTTTGGGCTGTCTAGATTGTTGGCATGCTGCAGACCAAACCAAATAGAACCATTTGAGATTGCTATTTTGTTTTCTTGTTATTGTTTTTCATGAGTAATGTCAGTTAACTATAGGTTTATGACTGGTGGTTAAACTGAATAGATCTTTAATGACATTTATATTGAATAAGAGAGTTCAATTTGGGCAGTCTGTTTTATAAAACATATTTTTTTTCTTCTAGGGGTTATGTATGAGACTAAAATAACCACCAGGGGATGGCACTCTTGGCTTTTCACACTTGATGTCAGTTCTAATGCTCATCTAAATTGCCATCCTGTACCGAAGTACTTTTTTTGGGGGGATAACTGTAGTCATGAAGTCATGAACAAATATTCAATTGTTACATGATAACCTCTTTGGACAATTTTATAGTTAGAAAACTAGATTAACCTCTTTGGACAATTTTATAGTTAGAAAACAAAACTTTTTGGAGTTACTTTTCCCCCTTTGCATATCCTAAGCTAACTCCCTCTGACACAGCATTTTAATAGCAGCATCTGTTGTTTTTGCATAAAAATGCTCGTCTTGTAATATTAATGAGTAAAAAATTTCCCCTAAAATGGGTCTATAAAAGTCATCCTGTTTCATTGTTTAAAAATAAACAATTTCTAACTAACAGTTTAGTTTCTCTCTAAATTAGGTTTTCAAATTAAAATTATAAACAAATCTGGCATTGCTGACAGGGCCATATGTGGCTCCCTGCCCTTTCCTCATGCCTCCAGTCTGTGGAATGAGGTGCCTTCCTCCCCGTCTGTGTGGGGATGCTGACTGGCCCCGTAGCGTCTGTCTGAGCTTCTCAAGCATCGAGATTTGTGATCAGTTCTTTGCAGGAAATTACTGCAAAAGAAGACTTTATATCAACTGTCTTCAGGGAATACAAGAAATACTCCACCTATTCTAACAAGATTTGAATTGGTGGTCAAACAGAAAAGCCCAACTTGAGTTGTATTTGTGCCTGCTGTTTGTATCTCTCATAAACACAGCAAATGCTACTTGATGTGTTGAAAGTTTGTAATAGCACTGAAGTCCCTTTTAGAGGGGAGTTATTAAATAAGATGAAAAAGATTTTTCAAAGTAATATTTATACTTTGGCTTTTTTACAGATAACATTATATTTCTGAGTGACCAGACCAAAGAGAAGGTGTAGAATGGATGATTCTCCTTTGGCCGTTGCTTGGTACAGTCTCATTTCCAAATCATGTATAGTCTTTATAATTTCCGAGGAAAAGAATTAAAGTACTCTTTTTATATAAGATGAGTGATAATATTTTTCCTGATTGTTACTCCCCCTCTCCCTTTTTGTGGCATAAACCTTGGTAGCTCTATTAGGAAATTTTCTAGGAGTTTATTTTTCTAGGGGTGGTTTCTGTGGACAAGTATACAAAATAGAGAACTTCTAGGTTCATCTGTCTGTGTTATGGCAAAGGGATAGGTGTCCTTTGGGAGAGCCCTGTGATTTTTGTGCATACTTCTCTTAAATTATTGATACAGCCATTCAGTATTTACTGAATGTTACTATACATAAGGCATTTATACCGTGGTTTTGAATACTGATTTTCGGTTTTGTTTGTTCTGTAGACTTGAAGGCAAGGACTGACACTTCTCTGTGTACCTGTACCTTAACCAGTGCTTGGCACAGAATAGCCACTCAATAAATGCTGACAGAGGAATGATCCCAATGGGATTTGAAGCTTTAACCCAAATAGGAGGGGGATTTGAAACAGTGGTTAGAGTCTAACCTAAAGGTCTTCAGCATTAACCTTCCTTCTTCACATCTTTCGTTTTTGGATGGTTTGATGAGTAGTGTTTGTGAACCATAGTTTACCGATAGTGAAGACCTAAAATACAACTAGAGTTAAAGAGGTGATGACACTGAAGCTCTAGTTTCGTTATTTTCTATGTTTCTGAGCCCTCTGTTCTTTTACTTTCTTACCCAGAACTGTATGTGGAGTCGGGGTGCAGAGATCATCCTCTTAACAACCCTTGACATTGCCTTCCTAGGTTCAGTCCTCAGGAACTGCATTTGCTCTCTTGGTGCACATACACACACTCATGTACTCACAATTACTTTTAGTATAAAGTTCAGGAAGTTACAGAGTGTAACAATTTGCCAATGAAAATTACATAAATTCTGTTTTTCAGTGCATCTTTTGCTTTTAAAAGTTTGCATCGGTCCTCCCCAGGTTTGCCGGCCAGTTTGCTGCACCTTTCCAGAGCAGCTGCTGCTGAGCAGTTTTGTTCAGATTGTAGAAGTCTCTTTTTCTATTTAGGCCACTTTGTTTGCAGCTTAGCCTCTGGCTGGCTTGTGTAGTTCCCCACTATCCCTCTACCTGAGAGTATGGTGCTGAATGTAGCTTAGGTTGTGTTGATCTTTAACAAGTTGAGCATTTACATGCTATATTATGGGGCCTGATCTTTTGTTTTACTGAATTTCCTACACACTTGAGCAGTTTTTTTCCTCCCTGTGGGGCACATGGGCTTGCTAGAAACAGAGAAAGAGGGAAAGTGAGACAGCGCTCACCCTCCCTCCCGAGGAGGGGAATGGCCATGCCACAGAGCCCTTCTCCATTCTCTTCTCTGGATTTTGGGCAGGCATGTTTCTCCAGCCACCAGATTTGGAACTTGAACTACACAGTTGTCTATGTTGGATCTAGCTGTCTTAACCACAGCACCACCTGCTGGCCTGATCAGCTTTTTTGTACTTAAGGGTGCAGTTTGCTTGAGGAAAGATGGGATTCCTTGGCTTTATCCTCTCTTTGCCTAGGCGCAGTAGAAGATTAATCACTGTCTTCACCTAGCAGTCATCTTTTTTCTGCAACTAGACTTTTTTTTCAGCATGTTAACTCTGCTAGGTTCACACATTAAAGCTGTCTGCTGATGTAGTCGTCATTCCTTTATGCCACATTCCCTAGGCTAAATTGTGAAGTACTTTATATTTTTCTTTTGAGCAGCTCTTTATGTTTTCTCTGAGCAAAGCATCTTTTATGATTCTTTTTGAACATTGTGAGAAGTTATGCAGACTGAGATTCCTATTCAAACAGGGAGATAAATCTGTGCTTTGGGAAAAAAACATGGTGAGTGAAAGAGCTTAATTACCATCCTACAGCAGTTTCTGAGTCTAGGACACAGAGGCAGAAGATTATCCTGCAGGATTGCTAAGAGCTGAGGGGCTCCAAACTCTCACTGGAGGTTGCCTCACATTTTTACCTATCCTGAGGGGCCATGAGGCGGAGTCCTCCGCACACATATGGTCTTGGCAGACCCAGCGACCCCAAGCAGTTAGACTTACTGGGGCATAAACCGCCCTTCCCACCTTGGAAGGCCTGTCTCTGAGAACCTTTCTGCTGCACCCAGACTGCTCTAGGCACAGAGAGACCTGTGGAGTTGGTTATCAGTAAGAGACTGCAGGAGTCTGGTAGTCCTGTAGTAGACTCTGCTCTTCCCTTTCTGATGTGGTGGTGTCAGGGAAGAAACGTGCGGAAGACTGCCCTGTGACTTCGATTTGGAGATTCCACTTTGAACAGAGACATGAGTGTGGTGCATATACGAGTACGAGGAAAAGCAGCATGTGTGGTGGTATCCCATTTTGGAAAAGGAAGTTATTATAAGTACATGCTCAGAAAAGTCCAGAGGGAGAAACACCAAAATGTGACTGTCTCTTGACAGAGGTATTGTTTGTGGTTTTCCTTATTTCTTTATACATTTGTGTATTCAAATTTATTTTAAGCAATTGAGTATGTGCTTATTTTATAAAATAAGTCATTTTGGGGGAGGAGAAAAGTTTCCATTATTTCTGAGCCAGACTTATTCTACTCATTTACCTATGCTGTACTAAATTTAAAAATTCAGCATGTGGGGACCAACAGATGGCATAATGGCTATGTTGTTGTACTCCCACATAGTTAATTGTGGTTCAAGTCCTGGACCTGGTGCCTCAAACTCACACCAGGCTTGTGTGCGTGTGTGCCAAAAATCCTGAGAGGAGACTAGAGGAGAAGGGATTGTGGTGTGGCCATCCTTCCCTGGGGTGTGATTTCTCACTTCCTGTCTCTCTGTCTCTCCGGCAGGTACATACACCCTATAGCAAAAATCTCTCTTAAGAAAAAATTCAGTGTGTGAATGAGAAAATCTTTCATGTATTTTTTCCCGGCCATCTTAATTTTAACATCGGATGCTTCTGTACTTCATTGACCTCTTAATGTGTACATAACATAGGACAGCTGGCTTTAAAGACCAGCATTTACACGTTCCACTATTTGTTGTCAGTACATCTCTCTCGAGTTACCCATCTTTCAAAAATCACTGAACAGACATTCAAAACCACCTAAGACATGTTTCTGTGGCTGTTTGGGAAATAGGAGTATATATTTTGGGAAGATTACATGTCATCGACAGCTGGATTATACCCTAGCCTTTGCAGCTCAGCTAGGAGAAATTCATGGTAGTTTCCAAAAGAGAACATAGCGATCCTTGAAGGCAGGGTTCCAATTAGGATTTTGCCCTTCTCCAGCTTAACCTAGCATAGCACTGTTACAGGACTTGTTGTTCGGCTGGATTGGATTGTGAAACATACAGTCGTCATGATGGAAGATAGAAGAAGCCAGGATCTGCGACCACCATGGAGCAACCATACCAGTGCTAGACCATCATTTCCGGACTTCTTTGGGAGACACAAATAAACTACTTTGTTTAAGCTACTGGTTTGTGTTTTGCAGTTAAAGCTAATGCTTGTTAATTCACACATTCTCGCCTTTATCTCCAAATATATGATCAACTCTACTCTGACCTTTCTCTTAATGACCTTCCACTGCAAATGGAAGTAAAATCTTACCTCTGTTCCTGTAGTCCTTCAGGTTTTTAACTTACATCTCATAAATTTGGGGAAGAGACTGGGATATGAAAAGTACACAAAAACGTTAGCAATTAACCTTAAAAAGAATGAACATAAGCATATTTGTTGCATGAAGTGAATGCTGTTTAATTTTAATTTTGTTTATAGTCCCTATTGAGGACCCTTTATTAATAGCTCCTACTCCTGCCGTTGCATAAAAGAGCACTTAGGTTAAGCACTGAAGTTTTACACTTCCCCTGGCAGTATAGCAGACTAGGTAACCTGGGGTGGTGAGGCTTCCACCGCAAAGTAACGATCCTAAGTGCAATACAGATTTTATTACATCATTAGGTGTAGTGGTGTGCTCAGGCTGCTGTAACAGTATCATAGACCGATAGCTTAAACTACAGGCATTAATTTCTCATGGTTCTGGGGAGTGGAAGTCCGTAATCAATGAGCCACTGTGGTCAGTTTCTGGTGAGGTTTCTCTACTGGCTTGTAGATGGCCACTGTATCATTTTGTGCTCACATGACTTCTGTGTGACTGCATGTAGCAGGATCCCTCCCTCGTGACCTTATTTTACTTTACCTCCTCAGGGTCCCTATTTCCAAATATAGTCGTACTGGGGGTAGGCCTTCACTGTAAGAATTTGGGAGAAAAGAGTACAATTTAGTTCATGGCATTGGACTTACAGGAAAGAGAAGTTTCTTAAATGACAATTTAAAAATAAATGGGACCAGCAGTTAGTGTAATGGCTATGTCGCTGGGCTCCCATGTAGTTGACCGTGGTTCAAGTCCCGGACCAGGTGGCTTAAATTCACACCGGGTGTGTGTGTGTGTGCGTGCCCAGGATCCCGAGAGGAGACTGAAGGAGAAGGCATTGCTGCGTGGCTATCCCCCCTGGGGGGGGTGATTTCTTGCTTTCTGTCTGTCTGTCTGTCTCTGTCTGGCGAGTGCACACGCCCTATAGCAAAA